ATTTTGACTGTCAGATAGTGTAACTGATTTGAAGCTAACATTTAGTGTAACTTATACCAAATTAAGCTACGCTACACTACACTACATGTCTAGTTACGCTACACTACAGTAGAAGTTACACTACACATGTAGTGTAGTGTAAATCATCAATTAGAGAAATTGACATGTCAAGTGAGAATTTATGCTCTTGAACCCTCTTCCTCTGCTTTCTGTTTTCAATGGACAAGTTGTGTGAACTGTCCATATAACTGATACGGCCGAGGTCCATAGTGACAATTTTCAATGTCCTATGATCACACACAATCCCGCAGAAAATGAACAGCACAAGATGCAGAGACAAACAAACGGAGGATGTGCCTGGTGAGATTTGAACTCACAACCTCAGCAATGCTGAGTCACATACAGAGTGCTTCCTTTACCAACTAGGCTACAGACCCTTGTGGTTGTAAGGTTATTTGGGTGATAGTTGCCATGGTTCATGCCAACAGCTCCACCACACTCTGGTGATACATCATGGTTACACCTCAACCCCCCCCCCCCCCCCCCCCCTTGCTACATGATGTGAAAGTGGAAATTGAACAAGTGTGGGAATGGAACCCAGTAAAGTATGATCTGAGGGGGAATTGAACCCATAATCTCAAGGTAGTCTGACAGGGGAATGTGGTCTTACAAGTAAGTGTTAAAAATTTGGCAGGGGGCTAAAATTGAGTGGCCCCCATTACCAACTGAAAAAAAAAATGATGATCAATTGAGGGGATCTGGATGTAGGCCCCCCAATCAGGCACTGTCTTCAGGGTATACTAATGCTAGTCATGTGGGCATGTAACTTTTAATCAGTTATGCTAACAGTTAGTGTAACTTTTTCACCAATTACGCTAACAGTTAGTGTAACTGAGGGGACCACTACACTAACCGTTAGTGTAACTTTGCAAAAAGTTACACTAACATGTAGTGTAGTGGGGTCACCCACTAACACCACTAAAATATCACTAACAGGATTTTGGGCTAGTGTTAGGTGTGCCTTTTTAAGGTAGCTAACACTATGCTAAAAGTTTTTTTTTTGTTTTTTCAAAAATCCTGTAGTGTTAGTGGGCTAAAATTTCCCGCTAACGGTAACTTTTGTGTAGCGTAGCTTAAAAAGCTAACACTACGCTGCACTAACACTACGGTTAGTGTAACTGGCCCACTGTTGACAGTAAGAAGGCTTTATTATCTCTCAATTCCCCAATAGAGATATGCATACTCAATTTCTTACTTGCTCTTTGTTTTCTTTCTTGTCCAGACAGTCATAAGCTCAACATTATAATTGATGATGACAACCAATTGCTTGGCCGGAAATCAGACACCAAGACTGTGAAGGAAGAGGATGTGTCCACCCCCTTTGCCTTTATGATGTTGCCCTCATTGTGCAGCTCATGACAGACCAGTTTCATGTGTGACAGGGTGACCGTCAGACTGACCACCTGCGTGGCCTTGGGTGCAAGGCTCACGACAGCAGGTAGACCTTGATCATCCAAAAAAAAAAGGAAACTGAAAATGAAAATGAAAATGAGTGACTGGAAAGTGAGTATGTATGGGAAAAACCACATGAACCACGCATCCAAGAATAAGATCCAAACTACATAAGCTATGTACCCTAGGTCTCTGCAGTTTTTGGGGGGCAAGATACATATTGAAATCTGGCGCGCTAGATTGATCAGTGCTTGGTTAGATAGATAAGATGGGATGAATATGATTGCTTGAACTGACAAGCCAATGATATGCTTACGATTCCTTTGGAGAGGCTGGGAATGATCCTATGGTGATCGGGGGCACATGGTTCCCTTTGTTTGTGCTGTGTCGGATATCCGGTGTGATTTTGTTGGATGGATTAGGTAATCCGACTCACTCGTCATCATCCTCCTCCTTCTCCTCCATCTTCAACCACAACAACCTCAACCACAACCACAACCTCAACTTCAACCTCAACTTGAACTTCAACAAACAAACCAGCCCCCAATGACTCAACCCAATAACCAACACTCATACCTAAACATCATCAACGAACTAGAACGAGAGATCATCAGAGCAGCACCAAACGATCTACTCCAATTCTGCTCAGCCTGGTTCCAATTCAAACTAGAACAGGAAAGAACTCAGATCAGACAACAACTCAACCAACTCAACTCAGTCTACCAACAACAACAACAACAACACCAGAACCAACAACTGACCTATCACTCCAACTATCCATCAAACCATCCATCCTACTACCATCAACAACAACAACAACCAACCCTCTGCTACTCCTTCAACCAACCACCCCCAAACAACTTCCCTACTACTACTACTACTACTAACAACAACAACGGATTCATCAATCCAGTAAATCATCAACAACAACCAACGATCGAAATAATCCAATCTACTCATTCGGACAACTCACCGTACCACAACCACAACAACCACCACCAGCCCAACCACCAACCTCAACCTACCCCTCCCCATCAACCATCCCAATCAGTCAGCCAGCTCATCGAACTCCTGCCCCGATCAACCAAAATCAACACCACCCCTACCAACCCATCTCTCCCAATCAATCCCTCCGATCACCCGCACCCACCTACCACTCATCCCCCGGACCATTAACCGCTTACAGTCTAGCATCAGCCACCACAGTCACCAACAACAACAACAACAGCAATCGATCAATGCCCACCATTCAACCACAACAACCTACACCCCCTGTGGCTGAGGAGGAATCGGACGACGACAGCAGCTCGGATGATTCGAGTCACGTGCCACTCGTACCTGCTGGTTACAACTTTGGCCGAAGGGTCTCGGTCTCTGCCGAATCATTATCCCCCTTCAACCGAGACGATGGCCCGATTGCACCCAAGAAGGTAGTCCCCAAGACCCACAACCAACGTCAACGGATCGAAAACTCGATCAAGGATAACCTACTCTTCAGGTATCTCGACGAGGAACAGCACGACGATGTGGTCAATGCCATGGAAGAACTCACCGTCACCCAAGGCACCGAGGTGATTGTTCAGGGAGCCGTCGGCGACTTCTTCTACGTCGTCGAGGAAGGTACCTTCGACGTCTACATCCGCGGACCACGTACCTACACCTACGTCCCAGCGCCTTCCAACGGAGCTCAGGGCACACTGGTCACCATGGCCGGTGGTGAAAGCCTGGTTCCAACTACCAATCTCACCAATGGACTCTCAGCCTCCTCTGCTTCAGCCGAGAGCGGGGCAGGCTCGATCCAAAGGGGCAGTACCCCCTTCGGAGGAGCATCCAACGGCACCACCGTCACTCATCAAGCCCCGAGTAAGAAAGTATTCCAATATGGCCCCGGAGGTGCGTTTGGTGAACTAGCGCTGATGCATAACGCACCACGAGCGGCAACGGTGGTGGCCACCTCTCCTACGGCCACCTTATGGGCATTAGATCGGGTCACCTTCCGATCCATCCTCATCAATCATACCGCTACCAAGCGAAAGATGTATGAGAACTTCCTCTCCGAAGTCCCCATCTTCGTCTCCCTCTCGCCCACAGAGATCTCTAAAATCGCAGACTCCCTCGAGGATCGCTCCTTCCCCGAAGGCGTCGACGTCATCAAGGAGGGCGAACTCGGCAGAGAATTCTTCATCATCGAGTCCGGTAGAGCCGAGGTCTATAAGAAACGCGTCAACTCGAATCTTCATCAACTTCGGAACTCTAATAATCCGCAAGATGTTGTCGAAGAAGAGTTGGTTGGAATTCTTGGTAAAGGAGATCATTTTGGCGGTAAGTGTTTCTTTCTTTTATATACTGAAGGATGAGTAACTGAAAAGGAATCATATGGATATATATATAGAATTGGCCTTATTGAATTCCGCACCAAGAGCGGCGACGGTGAGGGTAGCCAAAGGGACGGGCCGCTTACGCGTGGCGGCGTTAGGCGAGAAAGCGTTCACACGCTTACTAGGACCAGTGATCGACATCTTATCGCGCCATGCGGCGTCGCACTATGGGGCGGATGTAGGAGTCGGAGGACACGGACAAGGAGGGACGGAGGCAACGGGAAGCTCTTCATCGACGATGGCGGGGGGCAATAATGATGGCCAATCGGCACATCTCGAGCTTAATTCGCCCAGGTCTACCTCCTTCTCTCTCCCCCCTCTTCCCCCCTCTTCGTCCTCTTCCTCCTCTACCGCCCCTGCAGCCTCCCATCACTCGCCCTCCGTCGCCGGTAGACCTAGCCCCGCAGCTGGATTCGCCGGCTGGAACGGTCTCAATGGAAGACTCACTCCCGCTGATGATTCCAAGTGATCGGTTCTCACTTTCGATGGATCCTTCCTTTTTTTTCTCTAGTTCTGTCGATTTCTTTATAGAATCAGTCAAATCCAAATCCAAAAACAAAAACAAAAAAAACCCTTTTCTCTCTTTTTCTACTTTCATTTTTTTTTTTCTCAAATTCTTCACAACTTCAACAACTTACATAACTCAAACAAACATACATAACACAAAATAAAATAAAAAACATCATCATCGTCATCGTCATCATCAATTAGATCACAACATACATGTCCAAAACACAAAAGGAAGCGGAATTGGCAAATTCGTTTGGTGGAGGAACTTTTCAAAAAAAAAAAAAAAAAAACATACACAGATAATATGAACACTAACCTTAAATGGGAGCTAGTGCGAGATTCTTACTTACTTAGATTATATTAGATTTGATTTTGATTAACCTGGTTAAATAAATATAGAGTTTTCAGCTTTTTGGTTTTTTTTCATCTTTTTTTTTCCATTGGTTTTTTTCTTTTTTTTTTCAAAAAAAGATAAGTTGTGGGAGAGGAGAGGTAGCTTATTTGTACATATATATACATATATGTGGATGATCTGGTTTTAGTGGGAGCTCTTTTCACATACATTTCTTCAGTTTAGTTTTTCAAGAATTGTTTCTTTTGGTTTTCACTTTTTTCTTTTTAGGTTTTTATACTTGAGATTGAAATATAAATTTACATACATACATATACATATACATATGGTGTTGCAAGCCCGTCTGGGCACACACCAAACTTTGGCCGAAAACAGGCCAAGCGCGCTGGGCCAATCTTAAAGCATGCTTGGCCGACTGTAAAGCCCGCGTGGCACCCTCCCAACCCCCGCTTGGCACATGTCAAAGCTGGCGGGGGTCGGAGCAAAGCCTCGCTTGACCGAAATCAAGCGAGGGTGCCACGCCCGCCAACATGCCGGCCCCCGAGAAGGCCAGCTGCTCAGTCGGGGCCCAGTGCCGAGCTGGGGCACCTGCTACCAATCGGCCCAGGGCTTGAAATCGGTCCAGCGGGACTTGGGTATGTGCCAAGTCCCGCCCCCCGCAGATTCCGGATGATCAAGCCCTCTGGGCACAAATCAAACCCCCGGTGGCTATTGGCCAAGCGGGACTTGGGTTTGTGCCCAGACGCGCTTGCAAGACCATACATGTAGTGACCACAGATGTGAACTGAATAGATGTCATCATTGTTGGGTTGGGTTGGTGTTGATGAACAGAGCTGATCCAGTGAAAATCAAAGCTATCCTATTGTACATTTTTTTTGCTGTTGTTGTTTCTGTGTTTTCATTACAGGAGAGAGTGGGGGTGATGAGATGTAATACAAAGTGAAATTGGGAAAACCTGAGATAAGGTTTATAATCTTATCAATATTCAAGCTGCGAGTGTACTGATTTTGTAAACATGACTGAACTTGAAGTCATATTTGTGATCAAAGAAATCAAACATATAATGAGTGTCCCTTCTTTTGGAGTATGAAAGAAAGCACGATTGTGTGGATATACCCTTGACCCATCACTTCCATGTATTGGTTGATTTCTATAGCCCAATAACATCTATATGTTAAGGCCAGTGGTGGGCCGCTACGCTACGCTACGCTTTTGGCCCAAAAAGCGTAGCGTAGCGGCGCTTTTTTTTCATCAAAAAACTGTAGTGTTAGTGGTTTTTTTAGCGGTTTTTTGCTGCGCTACAGCGCTTTTAGCGGAAAAAGCGGCCAAAAAGCGCTGTAGCAAAGCGTAGTGGGCCCTTTTTTGCCGCCCACACACGTAGCGTTAGCGGTGTTGTGGCTCTAACACTATTCTATTAGCTTTTATCCCAAAACACTATTTTATTAGCTTTTATCCTGAATTATTTGATAAGATACTCTTTAAGAGTCAATTGTGTACTTACTGTGTTGGTAGTTTATCTAACTTCCTGTTCTTTTAAGGTGCTACTCTTATCTTTTTCTTCTATCTCACTTTTATTTTATTTTATTTTATTTTTATCTTACTGAGATTTATATTCTTTTAAGCCTATAAATTTCTCAATGGGAAATCATGGGTCAACCTACAATCATCAAGGGTTGACCCATTTATAGGGTCAAGATATTGTTCATGGTCACCCTTTTCAAATATTTGGAGGTGCTCATTTGTCCCTGCTTGGCCAATGTTATATTCACCCAATATTTATTTTGTTTTTGTTTCTGGGGGGGGGGGTCTAAAAATAGAAATACTTTGAGATAGGTTTGTCTGGCTTATCTTGAATTAATACTTTTTTTTTGGGGGGGGGGTCTTGTCCATGAGCTAATAATCCAGTCATAGACCCGCTATGGGGATGTAGTTTCAAATCTTATTTCCTTGGAATGACAAACCCCTCATATGTTATCAGTCTATTCCAACTTCCAAAAAATCATATGCAAAAATCTGGCAAAGCTCTGGTTATTTCACTGTCAGACATCATGAGTTTTGATGTCCGAAATAAACACACATCTCTCCGCAAGGGTGATGGAACCCTTTGGGTCAGGTCAATGACCTATTATATATCTATTGTGTCTTATTGCCAAAAAAAAAGCTTCGTGTTCGGCTTGTCCGCAGTGAATATTGATAAGGTATGTCGTGCTGAATTGACCAGTCATACAATCTCCGATAAAGAATCGACTGGCAAGACGGCGAAAATGGCATTGGAAAAACTCTTGGCAAATCTTCATAAAAGCTGTACACACTTGATGTCTTTGGAGACGAAAATATGCCAAGTGGGGACAGCTATAATAAAGGCTTCACCGACGGACAACCAAGACTTGGAATGTATTCAATGACTATCATGTTTGGTCCAGGGAAAGTGTCTTTGACGGGGCCAAGAGATACGTTGTCGGACTTCTCTATCCGGCGGGCCACGGGTACAAATAGTCAATAGAGTGATAAACGCCAGAACGGAGGCACGTGAATATGATTTGCCAACAGGTAACTACGACTCGGCGGAACCCGTAGCTCATCCGTGGACCATTTTTTACTGCCCCGAATGGTGGGCTAGTACCCTTCCTGATGTAGAGCCCATCTCGAATGTATGGATAAAATCTGAAAATCTGGACTGAAGGTCTGACGCAGTATTTTCTTGGAATGCGTCACTCCCATTCCCATCAAACCTGGTTCCTTGTACAGAAGATTAGCAATTTTTCTATATAAGCTGGGCGCATATCTTTCGGAGTAAGTTAACCCATCAACCACTATCATCTCTGGGCTTAATTATTACGAAAACCTCAACGACATCATTTCATTCTTTAATTGCGCATATCTCAAACTCACTTGCTTGCCTATATAGTCCCAACAGTTACAGAAAACTCATTGGATGACAAGATGAGAATCTCTACAAGTCTAATCCATTTCGGTGCGATTGCCTGGGCCAACGCTGCGCCGGCTCTTTGGCCAATAATGATAGCAGCGACTGTCAGGGATGCGCATCCCGTCTTGGAAGGATCCCCGCAAGGATTGATCAGAATGCTCAAAATGCTCATCGAGGACAAAGTTGCATTCAAATGTGCGATGGCCGGGGAGGAAGCCGGGATGGCTTTCGGTAAAGCCTTTCGTCGTACTAAAGGGGCACCTGAGGTAATTGGGGAAGTGGGGTCGATCACTAAGACCTTGAATGAAAGTAATCCCCCCTCGTCGAAAATCGCTTTGAATTCAATCCAATCCACACGTGGTGCAGCCAGTCACGTCACCATAGCGACTTGAAAAACTGTTCAAAATGTGTGTTCTTATGCCATCATAATCTTTTTCTTTTTTCTTTTTCAGATGATATCCTTACTGTCAATAGATACTAGCAAGCTTACTTTCCACTTCTTCTTCCAGTTTGAAGTGTACATGAAGGTCTCTTCCAGTGTTTCTGGTCTTCAAAAGCATCAAAAACTATCCCTCATCAAGCCCAAAAGTTTTCTTTTGTTGTCCCCACAATATTATTTCTGGAAAAAAAATTCTTGCCTGCCCCCTCTTTTTTTATTCATAAAAGTGGGATATCTCAAGTGATTTGCAATCCTCAATATTATTCTCTTTGTGCAAACAAATACTTTCCTTATTCTTGCCCTAAAACAAGCTTCATTCACTATATCAATATATCAAGTATTAGTCAGATTCATATTGTTGATACTATGTTGCATGCTGAAGCATTGGTAACACTTTAAATTAAGACAGTGTGATCATTAGTAATTGCATAAGCTTCCTGTGGTATTTTGAATCTTCAGTTTAAGTTAACTTTGAGTCAAGCTATCTGTTATACATCACTTTTGACAAAAAGATCTACCACAAATTGGCCTAATAAAGCACGGTTTCCATTATTTCTTTAGCCTTGAAGTTATACACTGTATTGTGGATTGCTGAGTATAACCACAGGGTGTGCCCCTGTGCCATTCTGGGGGGCACCTTTTTTGAGTAAAAAGTACCCAATGGTTGTCCCAGGTATGTTCCACTGGCAAAGGCATAGATAACCAAGGGTAATTTGAGTACTTAGGGAATGGGAGTACCTGATATATTCTGGATGGAATAGAGAAGAAAATATTCTGTAACTTGTAAGGCATTTATAGATTAAAACCCAAAATTGAACAACACATGGGCATCAAAGTTAGAGATGGCCCCGGCACATCTGGATATCCAGCTGCTTTTTCCGGGGAAATTGCCATCCGCAGCCGCTGGTGGGTATCCGAGCGGGTATCTTTGGATACCCGCCCTTTAAATGGTTGGCAAGGTACATGTACCCCGCCGGCTGGAAGGAAACCTTTCCAGCTGGCAAGGTACATCCTTGCCGACTTGAAGGACCTTGCCGGCTGGAAGGAAACCCTCTCAGGTATCCCTGGGGATACCCAGATATCTGCCAGGTTTGGGGGAAAAACGGCCACCCGCAGCCAAATCGGTACCCCCTGGCGGGTATCCATTGACGCTGGGAGGTATCTGCCAGCGGATAGCGGGTATCCACAACAGATACCCCACGACCATCTCTAAGATTCACAGTGCTTGATGTTTGGGCTATTTCTTCTTAAAAAACATATGGGAGAAGAAGACGCACTTCTTTGGATACTTGGGTAAATTGATCTCCAGAATCAATCAGACACCCATGTTATCCGGTAGTGTTTTAATGAATTCACAGGATTCCATGGAGGAGGAAATTTACCAGGCAATTTCTGGTGCAGTCCATTACAAACTCTTTCCAGACTTTTTGCCACAAAAACCTCCACACGATAGGAGACTCAAAATTCCAAGAAATTTGCCTCCTCCCCCCCCAGGTTTGGCTAAAAATGAGGGAAAGTCTTTTTTGGCAAGTGGCCAATCCGCTCACAACCAAGCATCATCAATCAGCCATTGGTCAGGCCCATGTGCTTCTGGCCAGTACACTCTTATCCATACTGATTAGTTGACCTTCTGGTAACTGGTTAGCCAATCTCAACTTCTGAATGGAAGCAGGTGGCAACAGGATGCACTATTCTGGACCCGTACTAACAAGTAATTTGTTCAACAAACCAGAACACACACACTCAATATAAGCCAAGCATCAGAAAACATGATCTGTGCTTTGTTTTGTTTTTACAATTTGAATGGAACAGTTCATAAAGAGAGAGAAACAAAATTACAAGTGTGCAAATCCGGAACTGAAAAAAGAAAACACAGGACAGAAATGAAGTGTGTGAGATCTGATCCGTCCCACATCTATGCTTCGATGTTTCGTTTTTTTTTTTCAAACATAAATAAATTAACTACCAAAATACAACAGGAAAACCAAAACTGAATTCGGAGCGTTATTTGTACATGATGCAAGGAAGGAATGCGGACGACTAGGAGAGAGAGAGTGTGTGTGTGTTTTTCCAAGATAGACTTGAGTTATGTTTGTTAAATCATGAGGTCTTGTTCGGGATCGCTTCCAAGCTTGGCGATCAGATGCTCCACCTCGTTTCGTAGATCAGCACAGATATAATCTAGTGGGAGATCCGACGGATCCACCCCGAATGGATCCTCGCATTCTCTGGCTAGGGCTTCAATGCCTATCAACACCATCAAAAAATAATCATAAATCAGCCGTGCTCATGATTTTTGCAGTTTTTTCTTTTTCTTTTTTTCTCAGTGACTTACCGACCAAAGTGAACGCCACAATCGAGACAAACGGGATCAATGCCCATCCCAAATCTACAGCCACAAAAATAAACCACACCATTATAAAATTGAATCAGGATGATTAAGACAAGAGAGAGAAGGAGGTCTTACCAGATGCCAGAGTGAGTGGAAGCGCCCAGAGATAAAGGGTAGTACATTGCTTGAGATGGATGCAGTAACACGCCGGGATTTTAGTCATGCCGAGGCCGTCGATCGAGCTAAACAGATCGGTCATCGTCGAAATCGAGGCCACCATGCGACTATGACCGGCGGGCCCGATGGCCTCGAGATAGCCCTTGCGCTTGCATCTAGTGATGTAGAGATGCAACTGATGGGCGATCACGAGCGGCAAGGGCAAGGAGGGTCTCGACAAGAAGTTATGGACGACGACGACGGAGGAGTCTTCCATCCGTTGGTCGGATGGTCGATGGCGCAAGAGTGGAGACGATTCGTCCGACACGCCCACCGAATCATCGCCCGTCGCTAGGCCGAGCTCTTCCCTTTGAGAGAAGAAGAAGGAGGTGACGCGTTGGTAAGCCGGGCGACGTTTGAGAGTCGATTGCGCGAGATTTCCGTCGATCGCATCCGAGGAGGGGACGTTGTTGGAGCTGCGGCTTGAGCCGCCGCCAAGGGGGCCACTGAGTGGAGGTGGCGACTCGGTGTGTAGGGCCTTTGAAGAAGATCCCTTGATGTCTGCATCTGCCGCATCGAATCCAAAGCCAGGTTGACTGGGCCTGTTGTAAAATTCTGGGGGCAAGAGGGCCCTGAGATCTTCATAATCGATCCCGTATTGTCCGCGCACGTGGCGTTTTACGGCAGTGACATAGGCCACCAATAGCCGGAGTGCTCTCGCCTTTAGTCTGATTTCTTTGGGCGGAAGAGATGCAGGTGTTGGGTCTTTGGGGTTTGAGGTATGGACCGGTGCGCCGATCGAAATCCAGTAGTCGCGTGCGGTGTTCCGGACGGCCGATTGTAAGGAGGTAAACGCTTTCCTTCCGTCCTCCCAGCGAGCAAACGCAGTCGTGTTCCTGAAGACCAGCATCAGCCCGACTACAACCGATAGCAGTGGGACGACCGAGTTGGACAGATTCAGGGATGTCTCGTATACCAGGTCGGCTACCGCAACGACCGTCGACCATAGTGTGAACATAATCACCGCCTTGAATGCATGTGGTATCGTCTACAAGAATAATGATATTATAAGTCAGTACTTTGAACATCATCCAAACCAAATTTTTATGAAACTAAGCATAATTAGATAGGATCAGTCTTAACTTACGGATCCTCTGAGCCGAAACACCTACATATATATATATATTTTGAAGATGAGAAGAGGATGTCAGTAGAGCAATCACTAGTAGCGATACAAAAGCACATGGAAAGTAGCTCACATCATGGAACCAGGCGACCTTATTATTGAGTTTGATTCGTTCCTCGTTAGTTTCTTCGACGACGATCAGATCCTTCAAGGCTGCCAGAACTCGAGGGATGGCCAGCGGGGCGGTGTTCTCGCGTTTAGGGGTGTTCGAGTGCGACATCTTGTGATCGTGTTGATGGAGAGTAGTGTTGTCGATCTGGAGGACTGTAAATTTCGGGCAGAAGGTACAAACAAACAAAATCTTGCAAAGTGCACCACAAAATCAAAGTATTTATATTCAGGAAGAATTCAGCGTGGGACAAGTGGCGGCGAAGGGGTTGGTGTGAGTCTCTCCCACTTTCACAAACGACGTCGATGCCTGAAACTGCCTGCAAGCCTCGACAGTCAACATGGTCTGCCTCAACGAAACTGCTTCGTTCCCTTCCGCCCTTCGTCTTCCCTCTGATCCAGTCCTTGAACTTGTGACTGCCAACAGAGCTCAACTACACACAGCCAACGAGCTCCAACTTCCTCCGAGGCCAAAAGCCCTGATAAACCCCTCCAGATGTTGTTTTCTGTGGTTCAGCTTCTGGTCACAAACCAGCCATTTGAAGTTTCTGATATCTGAATTAACTGCAGGATTGGCCAAAATCTCAAGCCATCAAATTTCACATTTCCTGTTGCTAGTGCCTTTTTCAGCAGCTACATATAAGCAACCATCAACGAGAAGTTTTGCTTCCCCTTTCCTTAATTTACTACTTGAAAGCTATCCTTCCAAGCCTTTATCATATTTGTGTCCTATCGTCATCCCAAAGAAACACAGATTTGATCACAATCCATCTGAGCACAAATCACTTGACACTCCAATCAATTTTCTTGTTCTGTTGCAGCAATCCTGTCGCAATAATCTATTATTGTCTTTCCCATGAAGCTTGGACACTTTTCCGTTTTTTCTGGTTTAGAGGATCCCATATTCCCTTGTTAATCCTTCAATATCCTTGAGTTTTTTCCTTGACATCCGCAGCATCTGACCCAAGGCCAGCCCCACTGGCCTTTCCATGCGATTCCCCCTTTCTCGGTTCCAAAGTGAAGGGAAGAGGAAATCGACCTCATTTTCGGCACCGGAGACAAAAGTTTGCCCTGATCCACCCCCCGTCAATGCTCGCCGAGGTCGCCAACCTCATCACCGTTGCACTTGAGAAAAGCGGGTGGTTGCAAGGTGGTGGGTGGCAGGCTGTGACCGTGGAAAAGTGCAAATCAAAAGGTGGGATAGTAGGGGCAAAAATCCAAGAAAAAAATGAGAAAAACACAGATCTGAGGATTTTCAAATGCATAATCAAAACCAGAAGAATCGGATTGAGTCCAACAATTATAGGAAACACAATAATTACAGCCACAGAAATAGTGAACAAGGTTTATTCTAATCATGAGTCGACTACTATAATAAATCAGTGTCTATCATTGCGTTTCAGGATCTGTTGTGCACAATATTAGATTGGGTTTATTAAGCTACTTGATAGAGCATCCTAGTATAGCACGGTTGAAGTCCAAGAAAGAAAAGAAAAAATTACAGAAAACATATCCAAATCAATAGACGTATTTGAAGTCTGGATGCTGATCGCCCAGATGATCCCAAGCCTGAGCGGATAACAGCTCCTGCTCGCTGGCACGGGATTGCAATCCTTCCTTCCCAGGATCAGCTTCACCACCCCCATCGGCCGGAGGAAAGGTGTATCTTTCGAGGATTTGGCTTCGTTTGGTCACTTTGGCTCTCTGTGCATAGCTTAGCCACAAGGTGTTCATCACACAACACATTATGATCATCACCCCACTACAAAGAAAAATACCTACATCAGCTGATTTTCATGAGACATACAGATTCCTTGGCTTAATTTGATTGATGGTTCTGCAACTCACAAAGCCAAGCTAATTGCAGTCGGGAGGTGGTACCTTGGTTTGCGTCCCAGAGTAAAAATCTAACCACGTCACCAGACAAATTAATGCCACGTCAGAAAATGAAGCATTTGAACGATTCCTTGGTGTGTGGCAGAAAGGAGGCGGATGAAGACAGACCCAAACGCTGAACAAGCCTCCAGAGTTCCCGACCATAGTCCCAAAGGCGAGCGCGGTAGCCTTGCGTGCATGGGGAGCACTATTGTCTGCCGTCCACGCCGACAAGCATGGCGCCACGCCATAGGCCCCAGGGATCGACAAGAACAGGGAAGCGTAGCGCACTTTGTCGTCGCCTGAGCCATAAAACATCGCAAACCCAACGATCGAAAGGATCGCACTGATCCCGCTCATCAGGCCTCTTGCTTGATATCGGTCGGAACAGTACGACAATCCTAAGAGGAAAACAACTCCCAGCGCAAAGGGTGGGACTGCAGTCCAATTTGTTCTCATACATATTCAGCTCGAGATTTTGATCATTGTGAAACTCAGAAAGGTTTTCAATACCTGTGAACAGCTGGGTATCGGTAGGAGAGTAACCGAACTGTTGGGCAAAAGATGCATCAAGTCAGCTTATGGGAGTAAATAAGAGCAGCTCACTTGATGTTGAAGGAAAACCAACGGTATGGACAACTGCGATTTCCCGCAAATGATGGTCAGTTAATTTTCGAAGTTGCTAGTCTGTAATCAAAGATTTTTACGGACCAGTAGGGGTGAAATAGGCCAAGCTGTAGGTGTTAGATGCACACGAAAACTGTGCGATATTCAAGATGATCACATGGGGGCTTTTGCAAGCTTCCCAGACCTGGCTAACAGTTGATTTGTTGGGGTATTTGGCTGTGGCGGGCGAAGAGGCAAGACTGGGAGCACAGATGTTCTCTGATCTTGAGACGAGAAAGCTAGAAAAAAATGTCAAGTCAATTTGGACAGTTCAGAAGCTTGCTCACAACGCCTTCTTTTTCCATTGGTTTTGGCTTGCTAGATAGTGTTGTCTTGGTACCTTTTCTCTGCATCCGTCAAGAATTTAACCTTATGAATGCTGGATGGTAGAATCAAGAAGCCCAAGATACCAAAAACTGAGGTCACGAAACCCTCAATCTATTCCAGAATCAATGTTCAAAATTTGACGTAAAGGGGGTGAGACGCGTCCGCGTGATTTCCAAGTTGTGTGCAGGCCGAGTGGAAGACGTACCAGAAAAACCCAGCTCCAGCCAGGGTGTCCCCATCGACCATCCAGATTGATGATCGCATACGTCAGTAATCCTGATGCCACCCCAGCCATACAAATTGTTCCCCAAAATGTGGCGATCCGAAGTTGAAGCTCGGTCCTGATTTCAGATATAGCAGTAGCATAAGTCCTATTAGGACTCTGGTTTCTGGCTTTGAGCGGTAGAAAGTTACCGAGAGATGATCATACGCTCCAAGGCAAGATGCACACCTTGTATAGAACGTCGACATGTAGAGCACAGTACCCGGATACAGTCCACCTTTCACAAGTATGAACAATTCAGCTGGTTAAAGCGTTACCTGGATCTTGGTTTGAACTTGAACTCACCTTCCAAAAAGCCTAAAAAGAATCTAAACAAGCGGGACATGAATGGACGGCAAGATGCGTTAATTTTTACTTATCTCTCTCCCAACTACTGTGTAGGTCTTGGTTCTGATGTAAAATACATCGCCAAAACTCATCTCATGCTTCAACATCAATGAAGTTTCTGACTAACCTACATACAAGAAGTCCGCGATAGCTGGAAAATATGTTTTTTCTCAGATTTAGGATCCATCCCCCCCAAAAAAAACAGAACTGATGATAATAAATGGAGTGCTCACTTGGTGACCAAACCTTGCAAACAAGTCACCAGACCCCAAAGTGTAACCAGCAGAGGTAAATGTATTCCAGCACCAATTTTACGGATCTTATGAACCAAAAAAAAGGATTAGGGAATTATAGGCGAGGTAAGAATATGAGAAACAGCAAGGGAGAGGAAGAAATTGGAAGGAAATATGTGTTGAAAACGTACCAAGAGATTTGAAGGAAGATCTACAATCTAGGGCACATTATAAAACCAATCACAAAATAAGTAAGCATCTACTGAAAAATTGACAGTGGCGGATTGGCTCAACTATATAAGGTCTTTGGAAGACCCGCAACAAAAGAGGAAGTTTGATCAGCTATCCAAGGCATTTTCCACGATAGTCTGTTAAACAAATCAGCTGCATACATGAACGTCAGAGTCAATGCCATCGAGTAATCATAGTCGGTCATGTGTAGGTCTTTTTGGAGTCCTGGTGTTTGATTCGAGGGTAGAAATGCTGGCACAGTTAGCGCACTCATTTGAAGATGAAAAGCCTTTTTTTTTCGCTTACCAACAATCCGCACATTTCCTGCATTGAACAATCCACAATGTGATGATCAATCCGAGTTAGCCAGTTTATAACGAGACCGAAGACGGCTAGCTTGAGGTTGTGGAATATGCAACATACCAAGGTTTGCTCGATCCAGGAAGCTCAAGAAAAAATAGACACCCAAGATGGGTATGAGTCTATTCACAACAAAATAGACAAATTAGAAAATTCTTCTATCAATTTCTGCGGTCTGTAATAGCCTCATGAGTCTGGATGGCAGACGGATCAGCCCAGGCTGCACTCACAAAACATCCAACTTCCGGACCGCATTCCTTTCGAGTGTTGTGGTATTGCTGGTTTGTTCATATGCACCTGGAACTGGATACTGTGATCCTTCCAAGGTTTCTTTGGTTGCAATGTTTGTCATTGTGGATGTAGAGAATTCTGCCTCAGATCCAGGGGAGTAAGGATGGGAAGTTTAGAGGCACAATCAAATAACCAAGATCTCAGCCTTCATATCTTGTCTTGTTGTCCCAGCCACAGAAAAAAGCGGTGTTTGCAACAGCACACGAGTAGAACCTCAAAAGTGGACGGACTCCTGCCATGATGTT